ATATATTAATCCTATCTATATGTATGGCTACTTAGAGAAAAAAATTCAATAGGGGTAAATATAAGTATACGTACATGCAAAAATTCAAGCAAGAATTTTAATAAGTTTATTTGAAAATACCACAAATAAATGTAATGCTAATATTCATTAGCAATAGAAAATTTATTTTGCTGATCCATATTAAAATTTTTTTTTGTTTTTTTTAACTTGAACATTATGTTAGTTATATATGTCTGTTTGTATGTACATATATGTGTGTATGTATATATATATATATATATATATATATATATATATATATATATATATATATATATATATATATATATATATATCGTCATACGGGTCTACTTGGACCCGTATGACGATATATATATATCTATATATATATATATATATATATATCTGTATCGTATATAGATATATATATATATATCTATATACGATATATATATATATATATATATATATATATATATATCTGTCCATGATACATGGACAGATGTATCATGGATATATATATATATATATATATATATATATATATATATATATATATATATATATATATATATATATATATCTGTCCATGTGTGTGCTGTTTTCAGTAAACAAGTTAAACAGTTTAACTAAACAAATGTTTCACTCAAAAAAAGTAATCTTTCCTTCTTTTAAGAATAAAAATAATTTAAGATAACAAGTTCAAGTTAACTGTTGTTCAAAATACCAGGAATGTTTGAACAATTTTTAATTTTTATTTAAACTAACTAGTGACCTATAAAAATAATTTTATTTTTCAATAGACTATAAGAAAAGAATTTATGAATTTTAAATTAACTGGTAATGCCAAAACTTTGCAAACAACGTAGCAAAACAATGTTTTAAAAATTAAATTTAATTAAATTAGTTTTCTAATAAAATATTATTAGTAATAGTATTATTTTGTTAATAGTATTTGAGTCATTTATTTATCTTAGCATTACATTTAACTGCTTTATTTTTGGTATGTCACTACTTTTTACCTCACTAATACTTTGCTAGTATCTGCATATAATTATGATTTTGTTGTGCAAATTGTAAATAAACAAAAACTTTTTCATTTTTTTTTTTTTTTTTTTTTACAAAAAAAATTTTTTAACAACTGTAATGCTGATTTTAATCCAAAGAAACTTGTAAATAATAATTAATGTATATAGATAGAAATTTTACCTTTTTTTAAACTTTAATGGTGTAAGTTGCAAAAATAGTGCTTTATTTAAAATGGGGAACTTTAGATATGGCTTTATTAATTTCAAGTTTTGATGCAACACAATAATATTGTAATCATATGTGATATGTTTTGCATAATAAGTTTTTTATTAAGAATTCCCTCCTGAAACTAAATTATAAAGGAGCATGTCCAACTTACATACATTTTTGGCCCATTTTATTTTATTTTTAAAATATATTTATGCTCAAGGATGTTAAAAAACTACACTTTACAACTTAATTTTGAACTCTACTTCAAGCTGATCGGACTTAAATTTTTTGATAGATAATTCTTAATACACTAACAATTCGTTGGTGTAAAAATCTAAACATAATCGGCTTGGCCTGGATATGGCCCAAAAGATATCAAAGTAGGACATACTACTTTATAAGTTTATAACAATATAGTATATAATAAATCTCTAAAACCTTGTAAATCAGGATTATATCTTTCACTTTAAAGCACGGAAAGCTTCTGAGGCCTGGTAAAAGCAACTTACCCAAAAGAAAAACTTAAATGTAACTGCCAATTTATCTGTGAGGAGCTTGTAGGACATGAATGGCAATCTTGGTAGTTGTGGTTTTTAAACCTCAGTTAAATTTTTTAAAATTTTACTAAAGTCATCTTGTTTTATTGCACATTTAAAAAAATCGTTCATTCTAAGTATTCTTAGCAATGGTAAGGGGATATGCTTATCAACTTGAAAATTTCCAGGTTCTCAGAAATCTTACCCTCTTTTGTTGGGGGCATTATATTAATGTTTTTAAACATGTTCGATATTTTTACTTGTAACCATAGAAACTGAACACCAGAATGAATAAAAAAAGTTTAAAAAAATCAAAAGTATACTTTAATTGGCAATCCAAATATGATTTTTTTTTGCTATAATTGATATAAATTTTTGATATCGATTCTTCGGGTTTTAATAACTATATTTACACTAGTATAATTGATAATAAAAAGCTAAGAGCGATTGTAGTTGATAAATTACGGGAATGGATGATAATGTTTATTTGTAATAATGTGGCTTATCAGTAATTTATCTGTTACTGATTTTATCTTTATTTATTTTATATACTTTATTACATCTTTTTAATCACTGACATTGATACCATTAAATTACTGATTTGATTCTAAACTTAGAATATCAATTGTTCTAAAATCAAATAATAACGACTAGTATAAGTTATAACAATTCCATGTAAAAGTGTCCAGGGAATGCAAGCATAACTCTTAGATTTTGCTGATTTTTTGCACTACTCAAAGATTTTAATAAGTTATGAACATCTCCAAAGTTTCATCATTTCAAATGGTTTCAAAGATACAACTATTTAAACTTGCCTTGAACCATCAAAAATCTGCCATTTTAAAAAATGTCTTTGATCTTAGTTTCTGTTCTGTGTGCAATCGAAAGCTGAAAATATGTACATTTTCATATTTCAAGGAAAGGAATTCAATTAAACAATTTAAAATATAAAAAAAAAACAGAATACCTGAAATTTTAACCTTGATCATAATTTTACTATGGTAAGTTTAATTACAAAAATGTCTATGTAACTCTATGTAATTTTTTTATTATTCTAAGAATTGCTTGAGATGATTATTCGTAAAAAGTAGCATTATTTAATAAAGTTGTTTACCATCACTTTCTTTCGCTTTTTATTATTTTATCACTTTCTAAATTATATGTGCTTCAAAAAGTTTTATATAACAGAGCATTTATTATTTTAACTAGTTTAGCATTTAATAATTTATAAAATCTAGCCTTAGATAAGATAGTCATCATCAAAATGATTGTTTCATTCTGGCTATGAATATGTAGCAGATATGAACAATAAACTTATGTTGTTTTTTTTACCTAGAAAATTTTTATTTTACAGTACACAGTTCTTGCAGAATAGCCAAGGGACTTATTATTAAGCAATATTTTGCAATAGTGGTACGTGTTATTGCTATTTCAGCAGGTTATGTTTCTCATTTTACACAAACTTCAATTGTGAGATTTCAGAGATGTGGAGGAAGTTGTAAATAAAGGAGGAGGAGAAATGATTATAAAGCATACTGGTCGTTTGCACTCATAATTTAGCATAATAAACTCATAATAACATAATAAACATAATTTAGCATAATAAACTTGCTAAATTTTTTTATATCAATAGACAAGTTAAGTTTAATATTTTTATTCAGATGTAATAATGGGAAGAGATGGGCAAAGAAGGAGGGGTTTTAATAAACTGGAGGGTTGGAATGTATATTTTTATTTCTTAAAGTGAGTTTATATTTTCTAATTTTTAAGACCTAAATTGGTTTCAAAAATTAGAAAATAATAACTTATAATTTTTTTTTAGTTATAAGATACATACTATGTATCTCAAAACTAAAAAAAAAATGTAAGTTATTATTTTCTAATTTTAAAACTAAATTAGGTCTTAAAAATTAGAAAATATAAACTCACTTAAAGAAATAAAAATATACATTCCAACCCTCCAGTTTATTAAAACCCCTCCTTCTTTGCCCATCTCTTCCCATTATTACATCTGAATAAAAATATTAATTTTAACTTGTCTATTGATATAAAAAAATACGGTTTGTTTATTCAAAAGTAAAGTTTAATAAATGAGGGAGGGGATCTTAATAAGCTCAGGGTGGGCACCCACCCTGAGTTTATTAAGTTTCTTAAAAATAGCTTATTAAAATTATGAACTAAAAATAGCTTATTAAAATTATGGTTTCTTAAAAGTACCTTATTGAAATTAATAAACATCAACTTTCATGTAATAAGCAAATAAAAATGCCACCTTTTCTTCTTTTCACCTCTTCTCTTCCTTTAATTTTTTATAATTCCTGTTTTTAAGTAACAAATTTAAATAAATTTTTTTTTTCCTCCAATTCTTTGTAGCAACTAAAACTAAACTATCCGACTATTCATCTTTAAAAAAATCAAGCTACATCAGCATTTTTGTAATTAAAGTTGTCTCAAATTGTGATAAAGATTAAAACTTTAGGTTTTATGTTTATTTTTAAATATTTTAAATTGTTTTATCGGATTCCTTTCCTCAAATTATGTAAGTGTACATGTTTTCTGCTTTCAATTGTATTTAGAACAGAAACAAAGACCAAAACCATTTTTAAAAATTTGAACCATCAAAAATAGCAAATTTTTGATGGTTCAAATTTTGAATAGTTAAATCCTTGAAATTCTTAAGAATTAGATGACAAAATTTTTGGGATGTTCATAACTTATTAAAATCTTTGAGTCGTGTAAAAATCAGCAAAATCCGAGATTTAACATTGCATTTTATAAAAAATAGGATGTTTTCACATGGAATTGCCTAACTATTATTAAGTTATAACATCTAATATGAAGTTATAATAATAATATGAAGTTATAATAGTTAATATAAAGTTTTACTACTATATATAAACATTTATTAGTCACAATTTTATATTTAACACTTTTTAAATTTTTTTTTTTTTTTTATTATAATGTATGCATTTATATGCATAAGCTATGCGCTTATACAATAATTTATAAATAATTAGTTTTTGTAAATAAAAAACATGTAAGGTTAATAAGTAGTCTGTTACCTAAATAATGATATTCATAGATGGTTAAACCATGAGGAATATGAGCAACAACAAAATTATAGACATTTTATATTTTAAAAAGCACATATATTAACAGTATATTTTCTGAATTTTATTTGTAAATTTTGTTAATATATATTTATTTATTATATTTATTTTTTTTTTTTAAATTTTTATCAAAAAAAAAAAAAGTTCAAAGAAATACACAAAAATGTCTCCCAAATACGTTTTGAATTATTTCAATATTCAAGGAAAAGGTGAAGTAGCTAGACTTTTGTTTCATTTCAAAGGTGTGGAGTTCACAGATAATCAAATTAACTTTCAAGATTGGCCTTCACAGAAAAGCGATCGTAAGATTGTTTAACATTCTCATTTTGTGGGGGAAATTCAATATGTTTTAACATTCTTAGATTGTTTAACATTCTTAGTATTGATAGCTTTTATTTTTAGAAAAATTATTAATTCCATATATTTTATGTTTAGAATCCAGGTTTCCTTTGGGACAAATGCCAACATTAGAAATTGATGGACATACTGTTTGTCAGTCTGCAGCTATAAACTCATACTTGGCAGAAACATTTGGTCTTAATGGAGCTAATGCTTCTGAAAGATTGGTCATTAATCAAGTATGTGAGACTCTAAATGATTTCTGGAATGATTACATTGAAGTTTGGAAAAACAAAACGTTGGATAGTGATCAAAAAGTAAACAAAAATTTTTTATATTTTATAACTCGATGAATTTTTATGCATGTAATTAAAAAACCTATTTTAATTTTTAAGAATGCAGCTTTTGCAGAACTTCTTGTAAAAGAAACAACTAAATTAAAACTATCTTTTCTTGAGAGCTTGCTCAAGCGTAACCATGATGGTCATGGTTATTTTGTTGGTGATTCAGTAAGTCTTTTTCGCTCTTAATTTTTTACTATTTGCCTACGAAATAGATTTATTGACATAGTGCTTGTAACTCCCTTTTTTTATTGCAATTGTTTTTTATTTACAACAAAATTCTTTTCCTGGCATAAACTAATTTGCTCTCCGTAAAAATAAGAAAACGAGTTCTTCCTTGACTGTTGTGCTTGCTCTGCCTTGAAGAAGTGAATTAATAAAACAAATATTTTAAGTGCAAGCGAAACTTTCAATAATATACTTAAGTTTAAAGGCTTGAAAAATGTTTTAGATGAATAGCCAATAACAAAACTTTCAAATTTATCTGTTTTCTTTGACTTGATGCTACATGAATCAGAACTTCTTGAAAGAAGAAAGTCAAAATAATATTTAGAAAGAGAGTAGAAATCAAACAGGATTTTAAAAACAGCAAAAAAATAATAAATTGGCCATATTTTTAAAGAAAAGTCAGTTGAATGAAACATTGAGTCAAATTGGAAAAAATGTTTACCAACTTTCAATGTTCGTGGGATTAACTTCAAAAATATAATTTATAGAAATAAAATTCAATTTTTTTTTTTTCTTAATAATTTTTTTATTCTGATTATTATTATATTATTATTATTATATTATTAAAGTTATTAATTTAATCAGTACAAAATGTTATTAAAGAATTTTTTTTTTACCAAATTTATACAATTACACTAAAATAATAAAAAATTAAAACAAAAAATGGTGTTTTAGCGTATATAAAAAATTTAGAAGAAGGGTCTTCTATAAAGTACTACGCAAGTATAAGGGAGGGGGAGTTACCCAAAAACGCACAGACTCGTACAAGCATGTTAAAGACGCGTACGTATGCAATTTAATTCTCCTTAAACTTGATTTTTTATTATTTTTATTTTTAAATACAAACAGAATTGCATGAGTTAAATACATACTGTATCCCGTTTTTCAAAACGCCTTGAATTTAAAGTTTTTACAAAATAGCTGATTTAGATGTTTACAAACGTAGTTGAATAAATATTTTCGACGAACTATGAAAAAGTTCATTAACATTATTTGCTTCAAAAAACATTTTAAATAATTTTTTTAATTGGATTTTTCTCGAAATACGTAATAAGCATCTTATGGCGTTTTGAATGGCTGCAGCATATTTATAGATAAATTTGTCAAATTGATTTTAAGTTTTTTAGTCTTGAATGTTATGAAAAATTTATGCGTTAAACATTGGGTTAATTTTGTAATTAAAAAGCTGTACGTTCTCAAAAAGGAGGGGGAGGGTGGTCCTCGAAAAGATCCAGTTGCGTACGAGAGAGAGGGGGTCCTTAATATGTGATTTTGCTGCGTATGTACTTTATTGATGCTCCTATAATTAAAATCATTCTTTTTTAAAAAAATTTTTAACTTTTAATTTTTTTGCATAAATTTTTTGTTTTTTTGTTTTAAGATTACCCTTGGAGATTTGGTATTCTTCCACACTACTGGAATGGTTGACAAGTCATTGTTAAACGATTTTCCATTGCTAACAGAGCTAAATAATCGAGTTAGGCATAGCGCTGAGCTTAAGTCTTATTTGGATAACCGTACACATCCTCCTATGCCCTAAAATTTTACAAAGAATTTTTTAATTTATTTTTTGATAATAAATATTTGACATTTTTTATGAGTTTTTATTACATATATAATTTATTAATTATTATTACCAACGCGTAATTGTCTTTAGCAATAAAAATGTTTCATTTCTATTAATTCTGGTCTATTTTTAATTTTATCAGTTATGGTCTTATATCAATTTTATCTTTTAACTCAAACACTTAAGCTTGGTGACACAGATTATCTATATTCAGTTTGTTTACATTAAGACTTCGTTAATTGTGAAAGCAACTTTACTACGAACAAGCTCTATTTGTGAATAAACAAATAAGTGATTAACTTTAGCATTTCAAGAAAAACTAATCCTTAAAACAAACAGTATTTGTTAATAAATAAGAAAAGATTTGATAGTTGCATAAAAGAAATAAAAGATTAAGTTTTATCGTTTTTCGCCAATAAGTTGAGACTAGCTGGAATCGAAGTTGAGCGGCCTGTTCAATTGAAAAAAGATAAGACAAAACAATTCTTTAAGTAATTATTGTAGAATAGTTGATGAAATTAAAAGTATAATACTCAAGTTATGCTATCTACAGTAGTATTACCGATCGTTACTTGTTATCAAATAAAAAAGTGAAAAAATGGATATAGTTCATAAGCACTTGAAGCATTTGTGACTATTGGAAAAAGTTCTATACATTAAAATTTGGAATTGCACATTAAAAAAACAATTGTATCGTACATAGCAAGATATCGATTAGAAGAGCATTTTCAGAACTTTCTACACTAATAAATTTTTAATTTCTAAGAGAAAAAAAAGTCATCACTTCTGTTATAATCTTCTAGAGAAGAAAAAGTTTAATTAAGAACAAACAAATATTTAGAAACAGATTTAAATATCACTATAAAATAGCTATAATGCTTTTTAAAGAATGTTTGCTAAAATTCTTCGAAGAGTGTGCATTTTTAACACCTCAAAAATTGCTATAAATATAGTACATAGTTTTAAGGCAAGAATATTATTACCTAACAATTGAAATTAATTACACCAAATGTTGGTGCTTATTATTATTGTTTTTTGTCTCATTGTATCAATTTAGAACGTGCACGCATAATGAAGGTAATAAAGAATAATGAAGGTGTAATCTGTAAAAAAAGAATTTTTTCTTAATTCTTTATTAATACCAGTTTATATATAAGTTTAACTTTGGAAAAATACAAAAAAGATATATATATATAAAGAGAGACACTAAGTTTAATTTTTTTTTGTTTTTGTTCTTTTTCAGACATTCGAGACCCTCCTCATACACACACTTTTTTCCTAAAGGAATTTTTTTTTTTAGAAAAATCTAGACTTTTTTTAGAAATTGACGATTATGCCCCTCCACTTCGAAACCGGTGTGGTTGGCCCTTTTTGATTCTGATATAAGCATCATTAAATTGCGCAGAAAAAAAATGAATGTAATATCTGCTACTTCATGAAACATAATAAAACAATATCTTATTGATTGACAAATCACCAGGCACAGCTAACCCTCCACAATGGGTTTCTCATTAAAATCACTAAATTTCTAACAATAAAAATATACCTATTCTTCATTATCAACACCATACTTGTCTAATTGCAAAAATAGTTTTTTTTGAAATACTAATTTCCAATTCTAAAATTTATTAACAATTAACTCAAGTACCGTCTTTTCAGTTATCCAATTATTGTAAATATTTTTTAAAAGGTGCTTAAAATTATATAAAAGAAATTTATTATCTTTTGTTTACCAAGATTTTGATTTTTGTTTTAGGTGACCTAGAAAAACCTAACGGTCTTGTCACCGCATTCACAAAGCACTGCGGGAGATCATTTAAGTAGGAGCCGCCTTCTTTTCTACTAATAGTGCAAAGTATGACTAGAGCTCGCTTTGAATGCTCCCGACGGGCTGGATCTCTTGCTTCTAAAGCAAGCGCTCTAACCACTACGCCAGGGCTACTCATATTTTGCAGGAAGCATTATACACAAAAACTTAGGTCCGCTAAACTCAGTAACATCCATAAAGCATCAAAAAAGTGTTCGCAAAAACACTTGAACTGTTTATTACTTTTCTAAAAACTATTTTCCTGTGGTACTGAAACATAGTCTTATCATGAACTTTGTCATGTAGAATTCAGTTTTTTAGACTTCATGTTTAATGTCTTTTAAGTTTCATAAAAAAAACCTGCTATTATTTAATAGATCCCCCTCCGTTCTAAAAATAGAAAAAAATATAAAAAACAAGATGTTTTGAAATAACATCATGACTCGTTTGTGTCTTGGCTCTTAGTAAGTAATTAAGATGTAAAACTTTATTAATGAAACTCTAATAGAGTAAATAAAAAAAAAAGATCATTGTTGTTGATAGACACAGCGTGAAAATATATATATATATATATATATATATATATATATATATATATATATATATATATATATATATATATATATATATATATATATATATATATATATTTTTTTTTTTTTTTTTTTTTAAATGATTACAAGAAATAGTTACCTTGTTTTTATTTTTTAATTTATATATCTGATCTACTTTAAAAAAAAGACATAATAAAATAAATCAAAATCTGTGTTTAATAAAAACTGTTTTGAATCAGTTTTGAAGTGAAATTCCCCCATTGCCAATATGAAGTCGATGTGACCCGAATAAGCTACATTTTACCAAAGTATGGCTTGATGTGCTTTTGCATACTTTAAAGTTACAAAAATTACTATAATAATAACTCGCCTGAACAACATCAGCAACCAGCTGATGTTGTTCAACAACTTCTGAATTAGTTTCATCTATAGTCCAGTAAGAAATAGTAAAAATGAATGTCTTCCGGTAATTTTTCAAGTTTTTTCAACCTTACCATTATACAAGACCGTCATTGTTGAGGTGGATCATACCACTCATGATCACCCGATATTCGTCCCAACAATTCTTTCACACAATGTAATGTTTTCGTTAGTATGTTTAATAGACAAGCTTTTAAATAGTGATTTTAATTTTTAATCTTTAACATTTAGCAGTCGTGTGGCAGAGGTAGCACACTTGCATGAGAAACAAAAGATGCTTGGTTCAAATCCCACCTCTAGGCAAGTTTTGCGACATCGGTTAGGTAGGAGGAGGGAACTTCCAATTGAATGCTCATCCGTGGTGCTCTTTTAGAAGACCGTAAGGGGCACCTTAATAAAAAATTGAAAAAAAAAATAATAAATTCTGAGTTTTATGAACAGTTGATAATTGTTGCGCTATCTTTTTTTTTTATCAATATTTTGGCGTTTTAGAGTCTGTCTTTTAGAAATTTCAGTTCAAACTTTACCTTGTTATAGTCAAGTTTTCACTTTTTGTGTGCTGTCTGAATAGATCATTTTACTTTCTTTTCTCTAAAAGAACTTTATCAAGATTTTCTGCATAGTTCACTGTTCTATTTTTTTTGGTTTATAGTTTGCAAAGATAAAGTCAGTAATTGCATTAGTGGATTTTCTTTTTGCAGCACTAAAAATTTCCATTAACTCTTCACTGGCTATATATTCAGGGCTGTCCTGAGGGTGGGGCGTAGAGGTGTTTCTAACCCCCCTCCACCTACGAATTTTATTACGTGGCGAATTGGACACTAGAGTCGGCAAAATTAGATTTATAGTATGCAGTCGGCAAATGTCGGAAAAGGAGGACCTCTTTTTTTTTTAGATAAGTTAGCGAGCAAAAAAACTTTTTTTGGCTTTAGTCGGCAAAAAAACAAACACGATACCCCCTTTTAAAATCTCTTCGGGACTGCCCTGTATATATCATGTAGCCTTGCACTGGCTGTCTACTCATAAAGTAAAAGTAATTGAAAAATGATGCTTATACTGTTGACTCTTCAACAAGACAAGTTGACGTCGTAGCAATAAAATGGTCATTAGTTGTAAATATTTGTTATGGATTGTAAGTATTGTCTATTTGGCGAACAATGCAGTTGCATCACCTTTGCAACCAGTAACTGTGTCATCCAGGGTCTTGTTATAAGTTTTCCAAATAATGCAAGCAAGCGCATTTGTTTAATAGCATTTTTTTGTTTTACGAAATTTGCAAAATATTTTGTCAAGTTTTTCTACTACTGTTCCAATTATTAGAAAGTGTAAAAATTGACTTTTTTCTTGAAATTTTGCAAAAAAAGTCAATTTTTGCACTTTTTAATAATTGACGTAATTTTATAAAACAGGTGTTTTATAAAATTGAAAACTTTTTTTAATGAAAACAGAATGTGAAGGCGGTTTCCAAAATACCTTGGAGTGACATTTATGCATTTTTAAATTGAAATTTCTAGCTTCTGCTTGCGATTTTGCCGTAGTTCTGAGAAAAACATAGTTTAGGTATTAAATTTGATTTTACATACTTAAACAATGATGGAGGATCACAAGGAATATCACCAGAGCCGGCTTTGAACCACAGCTAACCACTCCATCACTGCTTCTTACTACACCACGGCACCTTATTAATATTTTTTATTTATATAAAGAAGAAAATAAAGTTGGAAACATTTACAATTACTTTTAATTTTTGAAAAAGGATCACCTCAATAAATCAACGAAAATAACAAAAAGTTTTTTTAATTGATAATACTATTGCGACAGATATATTTTTGATGATACCGGTTTACGTAAACAATTAGGTTTTATAATTATTGAAAAAAGTCTCTTAATAATTATGCGTTTTATATAAAAAGTTTTTTGTAATGTTTCTAATTGTTAACAAGAGTCACACTTGTTTTTAAGTTTTTTTGTTTCAATTAATATAAATAACAAACGAAGAAGTTGCTGTTTAATTATTGTGAAATGATAAGCAGATACGTTTTGATTATAGGCATGAGCTAAATAAAGACGTATGATGGGCTAAAAATTGGAAGTGGAAAATTAAAAATTTGTAGTCTTTTGTTGTTGGCTCCACCCAATGCAACAATTGAAGTTTTTTTTTTTTTTTTTTTTTAATCTTGATTTTAGGTGTCCCAAGAATTCCTTACGGTTTTATCACAGAGCACCGCGGAAGAGCATTTAATAG